CATATATAATTGCAACTAAGTATTATTTTCAGTATTGATTCATTCTATGATTATTTTGTCGATTAATTGATCAATCTGCTATTCTATAATATGTCAGAAATGTCCCAGAATCCAAATCTGTATCAAAACTGAGAACACTACATTGGAATATAGCTAATTCTGGGTATAAAGAAGGAAATAAATAAAACCAGTCCTATTGTCTATGGAGCAGATCCAGACTGTATGCTACTTGACGAGATCATAAGTTTAGGACTTACTTCTGAGTGAGAGCAGAACTCCAATGTGTTATTTCGATGGCCTCGGAAAGTTGAAACTTGAACTCTCTTTGGCCTCAGAAATAACACTTGGAGTTCTTCATTTAGGTGATGTTCCCCTTTAAATGTTTAGTCAAAGTTGATCCAAACGGTTACATGTTCATTTTCTGATTTACTTTTAGATTAATCAACTAATAGTTTTGGCTTTATACAGCAAGGAATCTCTGTCTGTCTGTACGTCCTTCGCATATCTCAAGAACCGCTCATCTGATCTATGCATTGCTGCGGAGCTAAGGGCCTGCTTTTGTCGGATTTCAGGCCTCCGCAGACGTCCAGTGTGTTGTCTGCAGCGGCAAGATGGCGTCTCATTGACTGCGTTCACTCTACTCAACTGACATGTCTTCACCTTCCTGGAGTCAGTAACTGGGAAAGATGTTTTTGCCAGTTATAGAAGAAGAAGGCAAATCAAAGATGTTGCAACAGTAGAATTATAAACTATCAATAGTAAAACTATTAATAGCGCACAGTAAAACTTCTGCATTTATATTTTTACTTCAAGTGAATACGAAAGAGGCACAATGCCTTTAATTAAATTGACTTAAGGTCTGTTCAAGGTGGAGCTTTGAATTCGAATATGATCATATTTTAATTGTTATATTTTCTAAATCAAATCAGGATCTCCGACGTAACCAGTAACCATGTCTCTGTAAATGTAGTACTACAATGTTTTCCTCTGAAGTAGAAGTAGTAAGTGGTATAGAGTTGAGTTGCATATTTTTTACGTCGTTCTGTGTCCTTTTCTAAGATATTTCGGGGTACAATGAGTTAGAAGAATAACATAATTCAATATTTTTCAAAGCTAAACATCATGATAAATATATAGCTGTTAGGGGCCCTTTTAGTTTGGGGCCCCCAAACAGTGAAGTCTGCCCCTGGTGTTTTTTCCCGTGAACCAGACCGTAGGCTTATTTCACTGGTGTTTCTGAACGTGAACAGCGACTTGGGTGTTGGCTGTGTTGAGTGTGAAGTTGTTAATGAGCGGTTCTCGAGAAAGCTGCAAGCAGCAACAGCGTAGTCCAAACATTTAGCCCATTCTGAACAAGTGTGTTTTGAACGGGCAGTGCACTAGTGACTCTAGAAGATGAGTAGAAGCTCTCTGTTTCTCTTTTTCTTTTCAGCAGCACAAAAGGCTCCAAATACCACAGCTTGTAAAACAAAAATATGAATGAACAACCACCATAGAAATGCATTGTGCTGCCAAAAGTCAATGTTATTCTCTCTCTCTCTTTCTCTCTCTCTGTTCTGTGTGTGTGTGTGTGTGTGTGTGTGTGTGTGTGTGTGTGTGAGAGGATACATGCGAGTACTTGTCGTGCCTTCTCAATTACAGCTCTGGCTTCTAGTCGAATGGTGGAATGCAGGCCCATTCCTGAGCATGTGGATTGGACCTTCAATATGTGTGTGTGTGTGTGTGCGTGTCCATAAATGTGTGTGTCCATATTCTCCAGGGTGTTCATGTGTGTGTCTGTGCTGGCAATGGAAACTTCGATTCGGTGTGCGTTTTGGCGGCAGGACGGAACATATGGGAGTCTTCACTGTGCAGTGCTGGAAATACATGAAGACTTTCTTCCTTTTCAGTCTTGAGGCCTCTGTAAACATAATCCCACAAGGAGACAGACGTCACACTCTAGTCTCTTCTGTCTTTCAATCTATGTGATCTTTCATCTCTCTTTCATTTCCATTCTCTTTGCAACACCCTCATCTTGTTGCTCTTTCAACTTCCCAGTCTGACTCTCCAGGTGTCCCCTCCCTTCTCTGAGTGTGGACAGTAATCATAATCATCAAAAGCCATTCTGCCCTGTCATCCTGAGCAGAGGTGAATGTCTTTGCATTTAATAGGAGGACAGCAGTGAGCTGCTAATCCCACCCTCTCACTCAGACACTCAACCAGACAGCCACCACCACCACCAGGATGTACTGGTCTCTGACTGCAGCCAAACTGGCTTCAAAGCTTCCACTGCTGCACTGCCATGTTGTGCATGCTCTGCTCTTTCACAGCTCCAATCAGCCACAACACAGAACAGAGCTTGTGAAGCAGGCTGACACAGATGTTCTTCATTTCTACTGATGTGTTGAAGAAAACCTTTTGTTGGCCATCACCGTAAAGGAAATATCACCCCGAGGTCACTTGGAAAATGCAGTAAGAAAAATATTAGACTGTTTCCATTGAAATCCTCATATTACTTTTTGGGCGTTTTCCCTTAAAATCATAATTGATTTAATGCCACGTGTAGGTTGGGTTAAATTCCCTGTGATAAAGTAGGAAAACAATTTTCCACATGTCAAAAAAGAAAAGAAAAAGGAAAAAAATCAACTCAAACTGAGGTCTTTGTCTCCACTCAGTTGAAAACAGATGCCTAGGCTGCCAAGATCTCCACGGAGAACCGTGGAGATGGAAGCTGCGACCGCCCCCGCTTCCCGGCACCGACAGACGGTCATGGGACTGCGAGGCCCTCCGCCAGCTGGCCGGAGAGAGAGCAATCTTTGATGTGTGACGCACCGGGGAGACGCCTGTACCAAGTCGACTCTCACACACACACAAACTGGAGGAAACATAAAAACACGTTCTCATTCCACAGCACTGCCGTATTAAACATACCGAGTTCAGGAATTCTGAGTTTTAGGATCCTGCACAAGTCATGACAGTTATATTGGCACCATACGATAGCCTAAAACTAACTACTGAGTCCCACATCCATTCAAATCCCTAAATAGACTCATAAAAACATAAAACTGACTGTTTGAATACAATTAATGTCTGGGAGCTGGAATTTTAGTATTTTTCCATTAGAGTTTGTTTTATTAAAGGGTGCTTTAATCATTGTTATCAATTGAACTGTTGGGATTGCGTTGAGGATCAACTCAGCAGGTGTAGGAGCAGGTGAATGTATCAGGTGCATCCTCAAGCCGTTGTGAGCTCAATTTTACGCGGGCTTTAGGACCGCGGGATGAGAGGCAAAGTCTGGGCACTTCCATCAGGAGAAGAAGAAGAAGTTGAGGGATCGTCTTGAACCTGCTCCGTCTGTCACTAGTGTCCCAGGTCTGCTGCTCCATGGATGCGGGGCTACACTTCAGGAGACTAATGTGCCAGTTGTGTCTTTTTCTACATTTTTTGGATAATCCCTGTCAAATCTCATCACTTTGGTGAAATTTAATCGACTTCAAAGTTGAGTCGAAGCTCAATAATGGGGAAGTCAAGACGGCACCGGGTCAACTTCGTACCCCCCTCTCCTCTGCACTCATCGGCATGAGGCTGTGGGGCAGAGCTACAGCTGTCCGGAGGAGGATGCTCTGCCTCTGGCTGCTGCTCCTCGGCTTCGCCCTGGTTACTCTGGCTCTCTCGGACCTCTTAAGCAACCGGCGCCGGGACCACAGTCTTCAACAACCTGGCCCTCCCCGCCGCCCCCTCCAGCGGATTCCCAATGCACCGGACCTGGAGGTGATTGTGGACTCCCGGGACCCTGCATTGGAGCTTGGTGTCGATCTCGCCCCGCTAAAGTCTCTGCAAGAAGACCAGCTCTTATTAGTGCCATCGGCGCAGGGAACCAAGAACCCTTCACAGAGGAAAGGGAGCTACAAGGTGCTTCTCCCCGGAGCTAACAAGGATCCCCGAGCGCCTGCGGCTCCGACGCACGGTGAAATGGGGAAAGCAGCGCGGCCGTACCTGGAGGGTATGGAGGGGGATGTGGGGTTTTCTGCGGTGCAGAAGTACGGTTTCAACGAGGTGGTCAGCGAGAGGATTTCACTGCATCGCAGGCTGCCCGAGGTGCGCCATCCCGAGTGAGTGCGCGACGCAGTGTCCAAAGTGCACGACTAAAAAGATTCAGCAAAACCTCTGCGCAGAAATGACCACACTTTGGTATTTAGAGGCGTTCCAAGTTAAAGAAGTTGCCGCTTTGACGGTGTGAATTTGTTTCCCAGGTGTTTGGGGGAGCAGTACAGCGAGTCGCTGCCGTCGGCCAGTGTCGTTATCTGTTTCCATGACGAGGCTTGGTCCACGCTCCTGCGCACTGTGCACAGCGTGCTGGATACTGCGCCCAAACAGTATCTACAGGAGGTTCTGTTAGTGGACGACCTGAGCCAGCACGGTCAGTTGCTCTATCTGTCCACATCCATCCATCCATCCACTTGACCTGTGCTGACCCCATGCCAATGTATTTGTCTCTGTTCACTTCTCAGGTCACCTGAAGAGCGTGCTAAGTGAGTATGTGTCTCGTCTGGACGGGGTGCGTTTGATCCGCAGCACCAAGCGCCTGGGCGTCGGAGGGTGCCGAACTCTGGGTGCTGCCAGAGCTGCAGGAGAGGTGCTGGTGTTCATGGACTCCCACTGTGAATGCCAGAAGGGTTGGCTGGAACCACTGCTGGAGAGAGTGGCCCAGGATAGGTACAATTTATTATAATTATGTAGCCTACAAAAGTAATCAACAGCAGCGCAAAACCCTTGTTGTTCCCAATGGTCAATTATAACGACACTAATTATGAATTGCTCTGTTGGTTGAATCCCAAAAATATAAAATGTAAGATAGCCAGAGTTTTGTAACGATGAATAATTATCTAAACATTTGGGCTGGAAAAACCCAGCATCCGTGCCCAAGTCGGTCTGCTCGTTTCTCCACTGTGTTCTGCTGTTTGACAGAACCGCTTGAGAGAAGTGAGAAGAAGGAGGGTTCAGAGTTGTCAGTTGTCCGTACTCGTTAGTAAACCGTGGGATACATGTGCTGTATACGAAGCATGCGGCTCTCATGATTTGGCTGCTGGGTCTCAGGCTGCCTGCAGCGTAGCTCTTGTTACACTAGGTAATTAGGCTGAACTCTCAGACCTACAGTCTGCAACCACTCAACTCTCTCAGCCACATGTTTGACCCTCTGCCCATTTCCTGCTGTTTTTAATCTCTTCATTCCAGTTCTTCTGAGCATCACATCACACATGGCCTCTTGGGAGAAACATTTCAAGTAACGTGTGAAACAGAACAGACAGTCTGTCTCTGAACTTGAATTCAGTGACATTAACCAACATATTCGTACGCATATATTTTAAGTTATAAGCACCACACACACACACACACACACACACACACACCCTCTGATGAGGAAACATTTTCCCTTTCTCAGTACCAATCTTACTGCACACACTCTTTGAATAATAAGTGAAAGTATAACCAAGGAAGGATGGTTAGGAATTGTTAATGTTCTTATTCTTCAAAATCTTTGACTGACAGGAGCGTGCTTCTCATTCAGTACACACACCTCGGTTTGAATCACCCTACTTGATAAATGTTGATGAAAAAGGGCAAATTTGAATTAAAAAAATGGATGTGTGGTCTTGTTTCAGGACCAGAGTGGTGTCCCCCATAATGGATGTGATAGACTGGCAGACCTTTCAGTACAATGCCACCCAGTGGCCAGTCAGGGGAGTGTTCGACTGGAGGCTTGACTTCTCCTGGGAATCTAACCCTCAGCTGCCAGATAAAGACCCAGACTCAGCTGTTCGACCTGTGCAGTGAGTTTACAGCAAAATGATGTCAGTTTCCCATCATGAGTGTTGGAACCCCCAAAGGGGCAGCAAGATTGAAAGGAGGGGTCATGAGATGATAAACAAGTTAGAAAAGATTAAAAGAAAAGAAAATGTGTTTATTTTTCTCTTATCTTTTCAATGTGTAGTTAAACCTCATTAGGCCTATAGGTAAAGTAAGGTCCTCTTTGCTTTAAGTGCTCATAGCTCACAGAAATATATGACCTTCGACAAGGAGTCACAAGTTAATTTAAGGAACCATTGCTCTTGGCTATGTGCTGTGATCCGATTGTCCTTGCGAATTAAGACTGTAATACTGTGAAGTTTGTAATGTCTCTCTGCTCCTGCGATACAGTAAAGTGATGCTGATTCTGTGTACGACAGGAGCCCAGCGTTGGGAGGCGGAGTTGTGGCTGTCGACAGACATTTCTTCCAGAGTGTGGGAGCCTACGACCCTGGGATGGTGCTGTGGGGAGTGGAACAAATTGAGCTGTCAATCAGGGTAAAGCATTAAAAAAAACTTTCCATCGACTTTCCATCCAAATCTGCAATTTACCTGCTCACACATTACAGAGAGGTGACAGATTGCTTTTGTTTTTCATCTTAAACCACGTAAGCCTTTTTTTAGCGACACTTTGGCTGATTTAGTTGCCTTCTGTCAGGGCCTCAGGAATGTCTTTCTGGGACATGATGCCTTTTGCAAATGGAAAGTCTCAGGTTGAATAGTGATCTGGGAATGTCTGGGCCGGGTGACAAATGCACAAATAAGAGAAGAAACTGTTATGCGGCCACCCTTTTTTCCTAAGATGGCCGATTAAATAAATATTTTGGAATTGTAACATGTTATGTGACAGATTGAAATGAAAAATGGTGCAGCGTGTTGAAATACATATTAATGTGCAGCTTGCAAAACAAAACTTCAAAATATAATACTGCTTTGTAATAAAAGGCACACAAACACAAAAACTACAGGGACACGAACCTGTTTTTACTGTTCCCGTTATCCCAGGTGTGGTCTTGCGGGGGCACCATGGAGGTGGTTCCTTGCTCACGTGTTGCCCACCTAGACCATCACCAACTGCCTTACCGCTTCTCAGACCAGGAGCTGCTTCAGAGGAACAAGATCCGGATAGCAGACACCTGGATGGACGCATACAGGAAGATCTTCTATAGGAGAGACACACTTGCTCATTTCATCAGGCAGGTGTGTATGTTTGATGTGGGGACTTAGTCAAGAGATTGGCTGGTGAGTGTACCAAATATTTAAAAAAAGAAGTCGAAGGACCTAATTGTTATTTCTTCTGTGCAGTCTGAGAGCCCTAACATCACGGAGCGTCTGCGGCTTAAGAGGAGTCTGGGCTGTCGTAACTTTCACTGGTTCCTGACTACAGTTTATCCACAACTTTACATCCCCCAGGACAGACCTACGCTGTCAGGCGAGGTAGCACACACACACACACACACACTCTCACACCTATACGCACACAGGATTTATTCCATTCATTGATGGACATAACTGATGACTGATGTGTCCCATTTGTCCGAAGCTGTACAATGTCGGCACTAGCAGCTGTGCGGACTACCCCCGAGGGCTGGGACTGCAGGGTGGGGCCATGAACGCAGCGCCGTGCAGTGGGACGGGCAGCCAGGTAACCATGAAAACAGTTGTGAAAATCAAAGACAGACAGGTAAACACACAGTGGCAAAGATGATCTCTCTTGTCGTTGCAGCACTGCGATCTGAACTCTGAGTTTGAAGTGCGTTGGGGTCCCATGGGGGCTCTGTGTTTGGACGCAGGTGGCGAGAGAGTGATCTTATCTCCATGCCCCACACACCGACCTACCACCAGAAGACTCCAGTGGAAGTTCATAAAGGCAAGACAGAGAGTTAAACTTCCCTGTTATTTATCTCATTAGATGTATACGGTCACAGTAGGCGTTTCGGCTAACCCACTGCGTCTGTTTTCTGTTTCAGCTGAGCGGTCAACTCGTTCACCAGCAGTCCCAGTTATGTCTGGAGGTTGTGAAGGAAGGAGGTCTCACACAGAGCAGCCCAAGAGACGTCAACACCCGCGCAAAGACGGGAGGTCTCTTCCTGCGCCCCTGCACCCATCACCCCAGACAACAGTGGCACTTTGAGCAACTAGTAGCTCCTAAAGGTGCCTGATACAGAGAGCCCAGGGGGATTCATGTTATTAATGTATATTATCATATACTATGTGCTGTGCATAGTGGCATGCAGGAGTGAAATGGTGCAGAAAAATACAAAAACAGATGCCTTTTTTTGCTCCATTTGCCGCTCAGCTTTTTTGGTCCTGTTTTAAGGATTGCAAGTACAATTTATTCTTAGATAATAAACAACAGACTATCTAAAGTAATACAATACATGATACAATGTTTTATTTAAAACAGTTTATTTAGTAATACGTATTGTATTTATGTACATTTAATTATATTCAGTGTGGAAACACGTAGAGAACATTATCTTAAATGATCTTCTTCATTATCTACTGACAGAATCACATTAAACACAGATTCATCTCGATAAACTTACCTGGATGGAAGTGATGAAATTATGAGTAGTATCAAGTACCAGAGAGGACCAAAATTAGTCCATGGTATATTTTAATATTAGATAGATTAAAATACAGATAGATTTGTTCCGGACAAAGCTTTAACCCCGACACCACCATTGCACCCTTCCTCTCTCTTTATCCTAAAATAGAGTTAGAATAAAAAAACAGGGCGACTTAGAACCAATTTTGCCCTCTGAATAAGAAGAGATAAGAAAAATGGGTTATTTTTTCTGAACAGATCAATTACTGGTAGGGATCAGGTAAAACATATTGACATTTGCACTGAAAAGTAACTTCCCGTAGCATACAGACCTGCGGTTAGACAAGCTAGTTACTTTATTCAGTTACTTTATGAAGGACCTAAATGTAGACTTATTATAGAAAAAGATGTTTAAAAAAATCACCTAATATTCAGATGTCTACATACCTTTGGCTTTGTAGTGTAGTTCTGGCCCTGCAGACCCAGGTCTTTTTAATTATTCTATTGATTAGACGTCAGCTCAGTGAGCTAATCATTCACATTTCAACTTGTCGTAGTCGGAAAATCACAGCTGCTACTAATCACTAACGATGACGCTGTTCTATTTACGTGTCCCAGTATAAGACATGACAGTGTGACAGTGAGCCAGCATGCACAATACCAGACACTGAAGCAGCTAATGGAATATAACCATCATTAAACATTCACTTTTGTCGAAATGACCTCTGTGAAAACCTCAGGTGCAACAGATCTCAACAGGAGAGTAAGAGAGATGCCAATCAGGTGGTCTGAAAACACCTGTGTGAGTGATTCAGTTCCACAAAATGTTTCATTCTAAAATGTTTTATTGTTTGGGATCATGATTTACAATGCATATTGACCACAAATATATACTCATACATTATCAGCTGCCAACAGCAGAGGGAGCCATCTGCCTTAAAAATCTTCTCTAAAGCCCCAACTGATCACTTTCTTATTGTTGTGCACAATATGATTTACTTCTGAGAATATCCTTAAAGATGTCCTCATAATATACATGATTATGCTACACGGTTGGCCTACCATGGGACAGTAATATCCTGTAGTCCATGTGACTGAGAGGAGTGGATGCTGTCAGTGATTAGCATCCAGTGCTAATGTGTTTTCGTGTCCTTGTGTCAACTGTAACTCACTGCCCAATCATAAGTGTGGCCGTTATTCAAGCCACAGAGGTTAGGATGTCAACTGGCAGGCGGCACGCTCTCCTTGTCCCCAGGCATTGAGTGCTAATAACCGCCTTATACTCTGTCACGGTAATGCTTTTCTTAACCCATGGTGCACTTAGCCCAGTCAAGTACACAGCACCTTTAGAATAAAAAGCAGTCATATGGTATGTCTGCAGCTTCGAGGCATAGGTCAAACACTTGGACAAAAAACATGTTGTTGATTAATACATCTTCTCTCTCAGTTACATAACTATAAGCTACTGAGCCTTTGGACAAGAAGGACAAACATCTCTCTGCTTTAGATGGACACAGAGTCATTGTGTTGCTATTTTCACAGTGAAAAGCAATCCATGTTTGCCCAGAAGACTGCAAGACATAGTAGCCTATACCTATAAAGTATAATGAAGGAACAGAAAAGCTCTGACAGTTTAACCCTTATGTTCTGTTTGGGGTCCAGGAGACAACTGACCTCCTGTAACAGCTCAAAACATACAAGATTTATTTACGAGTATTGCTTATCGGCATGTTTCAAATGAGCTGTCGTTTGCTCATTGGGGCCTCGAGACACTAACTCTAAATCATGATTAAATACAATGGACTTGAATAATGCTCTATATCTGTGATGGGAAATGATGCTACTTTACTTTCCAAATCCCAAACAAATTGTTTTTGGATTTCTGTTAAAACTCTTTGGGGTGCAACTTCATCATAGGTAACTTCACAAAGAAGTTAAAGATTATATTCTTTCTTTGCTTGTGAATGACATTTTGTAAAATTAAAGAAATATATACTTGTTCATGCGCTTACTAACATTTTAAACAACATTTCTGTATTTCGTCGGATATGCAAGCTCAGTTTCTGACAAAGGAACGGGCTATACCGCTTCAGTATATTTCTGAATTATGGGGTTTAATACGGTCAGAATAAAAGAAAAAAGTATTTGCAGAGAGTAGATTAGCCCACAATTCATGCATCTAACCTGTCATGGAGTCAGCACCCAATGCCACACATACAATAACAAAGGACCTGTGAAAACAAAAGAGAAGTGAAAGAGAAAAAGGACCTGAGACATGTCGCATTCTCACAAGCACACACATCTTCTGATGGGCCAGTGAGACTCAGATGGATGTCAGCTGCTGTGGTGCATGGAGCCGTGGCCTCCTTATGAAGATCCATGGGGCTATTTCACTCAGGACGGGGCTGGCTGTACTTACTGTGCGTGCCTTTAAGAGCCTTGGGTGTTCTTTACACAGACACTGTTGTTTTCATTCATTTGTTATGTCCTTGTTGTGCAATTAGGTCTATGCGGATGGGCCTCAGGAGCCGCGGCTGACACTGAGTAAAGATTAAGTGCATTAAAATGTGACATAAACTTGGCTTGCAGCAGCAATTAAGGTCAGGGACAAAAACGGCTTCTGAATGTCTCATTTAGAAAGTTCCTGGTGACACAAACACTTTATAAGGGCACCCTTTAAATTGTGAATCAGTGTTTCAATGACACCTGTATTTGTGCAAAGCATCAATAAACACATTTGGAATTGCTGTAAGGAGAAAATAATAGCAGCAGTCATTCTTATTTTCCACCTTATATGCTGGGTGGTGTGGCTCAAATATTAAGGGTGTGAAACAGGGTGGTGAGAGTACGATTTAGTTATTTGAATTTGATCATTAAGTTGAAAAACAATGGTGGTGAAATTAAGAATGAATAAGATTGCTCTTAAATTCTAACTAGATTAGATACAGATTGATGATGTTTCTATTAAGACAAATTGAATTAAAAGAAAAAAGAAATAATTGTTTTTTGAATACTAGTCATCTGATTCTGAGAGTTGATAATCCGTCGATAGTCATCCTGCAAAAACACACCGCTGTACAACAGAATGGAAAGGTACCTCATCTACGTCTGTCTGTGTTAAATGAGTACAATCCTGCCAGGTGTTTGAATACAGAGGACTGCTTTCTATCTTCTTCTATAAATGAGTGGGCATTTTAGTCTAGACTTTTAGAAAGGGACCCTTACATCACTGCTACATCTAACACAACGGAAACAACTATTTCACTGAGCTCTACATGCTGATGATCCTCCTGTCTGCTGCTTTGAAAATGCTCTGACAGGTGAGCAACAATGGAGGTAATTTAGCCGCCTTTCCAGTATCCTCGCTCGATGGGCAAAGCCCGGCCTACACTCTCCAGAGCAGAAACCACCAGTAATCTCTGACATGCGCATTGTTCTTCCACCCCTCCCACCACCACCACCACCACCACTTGTACTGTAGCACCCAGGGGAGCCGCTCAGACTTATTTATCAAACACACAAGATGTCCTGCAAGCTTCTCCCCCCTTTCCTGCTTTACGCCGATGCAAATGCAACCATTTGGATGTGCAGCAGCAGCAGCAGCCGCTGTCTCACCCAGAGTGGAACAGATAAATGTAAAGCCCTTGTGTGGAGAACTTTCTCCATATCTGACATGTGTATGTGTGCTCTCTTATATGCAAACAGACATTTGATATGTACGGACCTACACATAACCAGAAGCACACACACATTCGAACACAAACATAATGTGTCCTTGGTTCAGCAAACAGCTCAGCTTTTCTTTTTGTTTGCAGGCAGCCTATCAGGTCTCAGTAAGGGCTGAATGGAGACACCTCACCACAGCTGGCAGGTTTCAACATATCTCCATTTTGTCCATGGAGATGAAAGAAGAGAAAGGGACAGATTCTTGTTTTACCCGAGAGAAAAGTTCACACCTCCTGCACAGCGATGGTGTTTTTTAGTACAAAAATCTGGGATGAGGGACAAGTGAAGAGGCTCTTTTCACTGGGATAAAGTTCTCATTTGAATGGAAGAGTGAATGTGTGTCTGTGTGTGTGTGTGTGTGTGTGTCTGTGTGTGTGTGTGTGTGTGTGTGTGTGTGTGCTCATGCAGCATTTCTGTGTACAAAGAGTGGACGGGGATGAATAGTTGCTGTATTTGGGTCAGGGCCATCATTAAACAATGTGAAAAGAGCAGATTAAACAGACAGCAATATAGACACTATGAAACACAGTTCGATGTTTTTAAGTATAAAGATGAATGCTCATACATCATAAGTCCACATCCCACCTCTTTTACTGTAATCCTGTTCTCCTTTTAGCATTTGTTTTGCACGTTTCCACCATATTTGTTCCCTTCTCCTCTCAATCCCTTTGAGTCAGACCCCACTTTAATCAGAAATCACAAGTGGTGGGAAAGAGGAAGGCAAGGGTGCAAAGGAGGAAGGCAGATGGGCTTCAGTTAGCTAATGACAGATTGTGGGAAGCGGTGAATAATAGATGAGTTTGCCAGCAGGTGGATAAAATGATGCATAAACAGCCAGGATGGGATTGTCTGTACACCATTAAATATGGATGGGTCTTCAAGACCCCAGGCTAAATAACAGCATTCCCACAGATGTGCTGGAGGCACTGCTAAACCCACAAATAATCATCCTCAGTGTAAACACACCCCCATCCACCTGCAAGTTTATTCTCATGAAAAAACACACAAGAAATTATCAAAGTGGGGGATATTTTGACCTTTGATCTTCATTTTCACTTTCCCTAAAAGCATTAGGAAGTGTAAGCAAACACACGAAGAGAAAACACTGCCACATAACCATAAAGTATATGTGACCTGCATCCCCACTGATGTATGTATCTAATTCAGACAGATCCAGTATTCCCCTCAATCCACTTCCTGCACACACACACACACACACATACACACAGTGGAGCAGCATTTTGCCAGGTGAGAGCAGCTGGACCTATGACAGACGTGTCAATGTGATCCACAGCACGCATACTTACTCATTTTTCACCCAACGCCCACGTCAACAATGCATGAGGATTGCTGCGCTTTCACCTCAGATGAACCGTGGCAGCAGCTAACAAAAGACAGACACACACATGCATGCACAAAACAAATACACACTACTTTTACAAACAATATGGACAAACAACAGTCTTGTATGACAAAGGTCTGGCATCATTAACTTTGTGTGTTTTGGTGGACATGTGTTTTTGTTGGTGAGTCCAAAAACAATTACTTCAGCAACAGCTGTTGGAGGGATTTCCATAAAACTCTCCATACATATTCAAGTCTCCCTCACGATGAATTATTATAACGTTGGGGTTCCCTAAATGTTTCCACTGCCGTCATCATCGGTTCAAAGTTTTAATATATCCAATACTTTAGTATATGACCAAAAACTCCCATAAATGGCATTCCCATCGGCTTCAGCTGTAGGTTACTTATTGTTGGGTGCTAATGAGCAAATGTTAGCATGCTAACATGCTAAACTAATATGGTGAACATGGTTAACCCTTTGGCTCAAAGCGATAAGCAATATGTCTATAGACTTTTACATTTTGAAGTGGCATAGCATAATTTATAGCTGGTTTAGCTGTAATCCTGACATCATAAATTTGTCTGGATGTCAGCAGATTATTGCAGAAACCGAGGCACAAAGAAAATGATTTGATTTGCTGGAGGAATAAGCTTTGAGCCATCTCATCAAGAGTGATTTGTTTTTATTTGAATGTCCATGAAACTGATCAGGAAGTACATTTTATTCTGCATGAGCAGACATTTTATCCACGGACTTCCAAAACACAACAATTGAGCGAAATTAAGGCCTTTGATAGCCACCAATCATTGTATTGCAATGTACATTTTAAGGTTTTAAGGAATATACTTGTATCTGTTTTGTAAAAGAGAAAAAGCAGGACTCCTGGATGTGACAATCTCGTAACCTCCATCATGCTTTAATGAATGTTTCTGTGAAAACTGACCAAAAACAACAAGCCAGGGGCATAACAGTCATATTTGTCATTTATTAGCACAACAGTTTTTTTGTATCTAATAATATCAAAATGCTATGGGAAAAAAGACGTTTTATTACAGTACATTCCATTTGCAGAGAAGCAGACGCAAACCAACATGAAGTCAAAAGAGTACAGTAGATCTGTCAGGACAAGAGTTCGGATCTTTTTCCTGGTTTAAGATTGCATTGGCTGGTACCAGCAAACAGCACTCCTATAACTTCATATACAGTAGCATCATTAACTGCCATCCCACACTCTTGCATTACTTCAGGTAAAAAAATACATCTTTAGTATTGATACATTCATAGAAATATAAAAGCCTCTTTATTTCTTTATTGTGCTTTTATATGGGAGTATTGCCTTTGCTCTGAACAGCTCTGAGATCTCAGAGACGGTAACCCTGGGTGGCGATCGGGGATATGGCCTCCATCGTGGATTAGTATCGGCACTTTGCTCCAGGCCACTTCACAACAGGGGCGACTACATTGTCCCTAAATTGCCCAGTTGTTGGACTGAGCCAACATACGATAAATATGCATCAGTAAATGCCAGGTTCAGGTAATAAACAATTGAACCGTGGTTCCTTTAAATAGATAGATAAATGGCAAGCTGGATTTCCACAGAGTGTCATGCAGAATGTTAATGTGTGTCTACAGGCACCACTCAAAAGGCTTGGAAAGGCATGCAGAGAGCAAGAGAAAGATAAAGAAGGAGGGAGAGAGAGTGTAGGTGTGTGGAGAAAAACACTGGAAAAGAGAAGCAGAGAGAGAGAACGAGTCCCTGCGCTCAGTGTGACAGACGACAGCAGGGGCTGTGCTGCCCGAGGCACAACATACCCTCCACCCCCCCCCCCCCACATCTCCATAACCAACTTCCTCCACCCTCTTCCCCTGAGGGCCAGCAGTAAAGAGCACAATACGTCCCATCTCACTCCATTCTGTGCTCCCAGTCCAACCAGCCTCAACAAGCCACGCACTGGTACACACAATCCAGAGCACCATGTGGGGGTTGAGTGTGCAAGGTTTAAAAGGAGAGGAAAGGCCAGAGATAGGAGGTTGGGGGATGGATTCTAAGAGACCCTATCCCTCCCCCTCCTTGTCTACAAACCCCATCCCCACTTACGATGCTTTCTCCTCCTCCAACCAGACCTGCTGACCTGAAACCATCAACAGCATGGAGCAAAAAAAAAAAGGGAGGACTGAAAGAACTCTCTCCTCCACTGCATCCGTTTTGTCTTCCATTATGGCACAATCCCACCTCAAATTGGGGGTTGTTGGGGGTGAGCTGTGCCCAGAGAGCTGCCACGATACTTCTCCTCGACTGATCCAAACCTCTGCAGCTTTTCTAACAACACTACATTTCTATAAGGTAAAGCTAACGCACCTAAACCTTCTGTACTTGTTTTCATGCAACAAGATTTTTAAACATGTGCCTTTAAAACAAAAGGAATCAAAGTTGAATCCCTGCAAACGTCCTGCAATAATATGATATGATCAGCCTGAACTTCAGTTCAGGAACATATCCCCCAAAAAATATCCTGGATTGAGTCCTGCACAGTCCAGGAAAGTTCAGATGGAGTGCTGCTACAAACCCTTAGTTGGGTTGTGGTAGGTGCCCCCAAGTCCAGTTTGCAGAGAGCACCCAGAGCTCTGATGAGGGCCCTCATCTCCCCCGTCCTGTGATGGTGGATTGTGTTCTCTAGACCTGATGGAGACAGAGACCCCGTCTTTGTAGTGGGAAATCTCTGGTGAGCTGAGGGGCGAGGAAGGCAGGTGAGGTTCTGAGATGACGGGCTGTAGTTGAAGTGCAGATAAGTTGCGAGTTGGAGGGGGAGTTGAGCTGGGGATTGCAGAGTACCCCAGCTGGAGGTCCTGGGATCTATGTGTGAGGAAGTCTGTGTGACATATCACACCATGTTGCTGAGGGATAGTGAGGGGAGAGGAGGGCAATGAGATGGGCATGTCCGTCCAAATGGAGGCAGTCTGAGAGGAGCATGGTGAAGGGTAAGACATAGGAGGGGTAGGATGGGGCAGGTATGTGAGGTGTGCTGGGGAGTAGTGCGTTGGGCAGACTACTGTAGGTTGCGGCGTTGACGACATGAGGGTCTCCATGAGTTGGGCCATTCTCCTCATGACTTGTCCAAGGTCGGCCACTTCCCTCCCGAGGTTACTCACCTGCAGAAACAAACAATATATATTTTTAAAGAAGAAAAATAAGTGCCTCGTGCATCCTCATCCATGGGTGGGGTGTGGCATGAATATTTAATTTTAGGCACTCAAGTGGATGGTTAGAAAGAAGGAAAGAAGACGAGCAGTTCTTGTTGGTAGTGGCAGAGTCCACTATTCCTGCACTGGATTTATTTTGTAGCACAGCTCAATTTAATCTCAAGCCTCGCTGTTCGCTCTCTTTACACCAAGTCATTGCTGTTTGCTAATGCAAGCTGAATATTTCCTACTGCCACTGCTTTATATTTATCACTGTGGAGCTAATGTAAACATGTCCCAAACTTTTAAATTTTCTAAAAAGAAAATTAGACAGTGGATTAGTTTAAATTTTAAATTTTTGCAAGTGTTGCAATCATTTTTTACTCATTCCTTATAATAAAAAAAGTTAAAAAAAAAACTTGTTTCTGCTCTATAGGTATTTGCTTTAGTGCACTTGCTGTTACCGTTATTTCGTCAAAGTCAACCAGGACCCAAACCAGGGTAACAACTTGTATAAATATGGGCTAGTCCATTATAAAAATACACAAATGAGTCGAGGCAGACTTGTAGTTTAATTCCTTTGAGGTTGTAAAGTATGCCTCTCTTTGCTTGAAGAGTTTGATTCTGTCACCACCTCCGGTATCCAAACCTATGGCCTCTACTTCTATAACTCTCAAAGTGGATTCACTGCCACATACAGTAGTTGACGTTTTTGGTGTAATCAAGACAAACTTTCTAGGGAAAAACATACTAATTAGCAAGAACAAAAAGCCGCAGGGTGTACTTTACATCATCACGAATGTAGTATTTTCCGGTCAATCATTTTGGGTCAAAAATATTTCTGTCTCCTGCCTGCCGTTTAGCATGTTATCATCGTGCTGCTATAATTGGTCATTACACTGATGAAGGCTGGGGGGGTGGTGATGATTAGCTGCTCTCTGCACGTGGCGTGTCCACAGAGGGCACGACCAGGAAGCCCTGCCAATGTGCCATCTGCTTCTAGCAGTCAAAGCACTCACGACCATTCATCAGGCCAATCATGCACATCAGTGCTACTGGATCAGCCCTCAGCAGGACACCCAACTCCAGGTGGGAACTGCTCCAGTGTGAATACGGCAAGAGGTGATCGAGTACATTGTGATCACGACAGACCAAACAACGCTTCTCTCCTATTCTCTGGGTAACATGGACACACAATGTTACGTACTGTACACATATGTGAATTAGAAAATTTGTTACGAATTCATTGTCTTATCAATGAACATTTAATTGTAAACTCGATTACATTTCTACGTTCTTTAACATCAAGGTTGTTTAACTTTGATCTACTATACAGACACATTTAGATACATATTCTCTCTCCTCTCTCGCCCTCTCCTCTTCCTCACGGAGTAGCTGATAAAAGCCTGCATGGGTCTAAACTCTGGCTCTGATAAAAATAGAAAAGCTGAGAGCGACAGGACAGTCCAATCTGACACGCTGTCAACATGATTCCAGTACTCCCACCTCAGAGACAACCGTCTGTGGAGATAGTCAGACAAAACAGCAGCCATGGATGACGAGAACTCACTGCAGCTACAGGTACGTGTTACGCCCAAAACATATAGTATTAGCATCTTAAGATCAAACAATGCTTAAACTAACAAGGTATACAAAAATATCAGAAAACTCAAACTTTCCTGGAGAACTTTGGCCTTTAGCTGTTGTAGTAAGCATGGACAAAAAGGACAGAGGTGACGACTTCCAAAAGGTGACGGATGCTCTAAAAAGTAACCTCATTAACCTTGTTTACAGCATGCTGTATATGCAAGATCAGCACTAAACAGCAGACAAAAAAATGAACTACTTGCTGGTTTATAAATGCTGGTGGAGCATTTAACAGCCTAAGAAGACAGAATATTTTCTATCATTGGTGGAGACCAAAGCAAAGCAAAAATAGAACGAGTACATTCATCAGGTAACCAGAAACACGCCTCTAAATAACTGCTACTGTTGCTCAGTGTCTGTCAGATGTGTGGATAGATAACACATACATGATGTGTTAACACAATTGTTGCTTTCAGTGTTTGATTTTATTTCCCACTGTTCATTTACTAAAGTAGGCCACCACTGCTGTGCATACGTGTGTGTACCTATGTCTCATTGTCAAGCCTCTTCTTGCAATCATGAGTGCAATTACTTAGACTGTTCAGGCAAAGCTCTCCTTCCTCCAGCTCTCCTGTGTAGCTGCACATTATGATTTCCATGACACGGTACACAGGTCACCATGTTAGACCTTTGACGATACCAAGTGTACTCATTCACACAATGAACCCTCCAGTGGCATAGATGTAGCATGAGGCATCATTTTTCACACATTTTGTAGTTCATTAAAACGCTGCCACTTTGTTTCAGGTCAGAATCAGCAAAGATCTCTACAGTTGGTTTTTCAGATGGCAATAACTCATATTTAATATTGCAGTTTGTTTTATTTACAGGTATGGATTCAGGTCTCAAGGCCCTTGCTACATGATTGTCACTGAAAAAAATTGGTACTGTTGTATTTGTTTGTTAAGAAAAATAACACTGCCAACCACCAAATTGCATGTGTTTGTTTGTGAAGTTAAGTGTGTCTAATGGATTTCTACCCACAGCTGAGATGTAGCAACAAAAACTGGAGTGGAACATTAGCTGATTTTAAATGCACTTGATGAGAAACTGTGCATGAGTTCACCACAGTACTAAATAACAGTAATTGGGACAATCAATCCTTTTTTCTCCGCAAATCATATACATTATGAAACTTCCCTGTGTGGGCCAAATAACAATGGCCTCATTTGTCATTCATATTTGAGTTTGTGTAGAATGCATACAGGGTCTAAACATACACAACCCTTTTCATCTCCAACGGTGATCTGAGTGGATGGATCCAAGAGAGAATTACCAACCTACAAGACCATGCTGAGAGACTTCCTGTCAAACACCGGTAACCCGCAGAGACACAGACAGGACAACAGAGCCAACAGTGTGTAACTGTAAAGATGCTGTGCCATTATCTGACTTTTTTCATCTCCCTCTGATTTGCTTTTTGTTTCTTTTCATAAAACTATCTGCCTTCTCCCCTTTTCTCCCTCCACTTCCTTCTCCTCATGTTTCTTTTTCTCTCTCTGCCTCTATCTGCTCATCCCAGGACACAGACTGAGGCTTAGCGGGAGCTAGCAAACACTCCTTCTCACCTGCTAAAAGTCTAATGTCAATTTAGCCACCCGCCAATCAAAACCATAGGCAACAGCATGAGAGGCTGTGTGTCTGCGTGAACGGATTATTTCAAGCTGGACAATGAATCACCAAAGCCTATAAAACCTCAAAATATTATATTATACAACGTGACTGACGAGGCCCAGTAGGTCTGGTGTAAAAAGAAAAAGCTGCAAACGAGACACTGGGGTCAGGATTTCCTGAGATTCACCAGACTGATTAAATGGAAGGCTCATGAAAACACATAAATGTAGGGTTTAGGTATTAAAAAATGATACCACTCCGTAAGGCCTCATTATAACACCACATCCTCGAGCAGACTTTTCTACAATGTCAATATTACTTCTCTCAATCCTTTTACCTGTCTTGTGCCTGACAAGCTGATTCAGCCATATGGCTCGTACTTACTGAACCCACCTGTCTTTCTGTCTCTCTCTCTCTCTCTCTCTCTCTCTCTTACACAGACACACACAGACACACATACACACACACACACACACACACACACACACCTGCTGGTCGAGGTGTCGCAGTTGTCCTCTGGTCTCTTCGGCTTTAGCTGCTAACTCTGCTGTGCTGATCTGCAGTATATCTGTGACACAAATCAGCAAGTTACAAATCACTCCACGGATAAGAGGTCCAAATTTACACCCAGCAGATATTGCATCAAGGCAGCTGATAAATACTGTAGGCGTTGACAGGAAGTGCAAATTCCCATTAATCACCCTCATTATACAACATTACTGCAGGCATGTGGATGTTAAAATGTTTTCACTTCCCAGAATGTGGGAAGATGAAGGGATTGTAGACGGTATTAGGTCATATTTGAGAGGTAAATTGCTGAGTAGTGTAGTATGGGAGGACCTGTAGCGGACGCTGAGGCACTGGTTGGTTCATTGACAGGACAACCTCGGCTGGTAGAGAAGGGGAAAGCTAGGGAACCCTCCGTCCCCTCACTGTCGTCAGTACCGTCCACTATCCTGCGGAGAGACAGAAATGTGTGTGTGTATGTGTGTGTGTGTGTGTAGGAAGGTAAAGATTGGTACTGATGATGTAATCAGATAATTTAGAAACAACAATAACGTTAATAATATGGTTATTGTAACATTGTTGTATTGTTTAAAGTTTCATGGTCTAAAAGTATCATAGTTTGTACCAAAGGTACTGTGCTAAAGAATGACAGAAAATCAACCCAACACAGAGTCACAGGGAGACAGACAAATCAATGGCGATCAAACTCACCTGGGGCTGAGGTTGGACGGGTCTAAAGTGGTCAGAGTAATTTCCTGGATCTTCCTCCGAGACCTCCTGGAACTCTGTACCGAGGTCTTCTGGCTGGATCGGCTCAGCTGAGACTTCCCACCCGTGTCCCCGAGGTTCACCGCCTGTTTCCTCTCAGATGACACAGACACAGACATGGCCTCATCTTCCTCCTCCTCCTCCTCATCCTCCTCCTCCCCCTCCTCCTCATCTTCCTCATTGTCCTCCTGTACCTCTATGATGCGTGGATAGCCCTGAACCACTCCTCCATTCCTTCTCACCCCAGACTGTAAATGAAATGAAAAAACAAAACAAAAAGAATTGTTGAGAGTCAGACATGAACTTAAAATCTATTCATGACATTTCAAGTCATCTGAAGCGTCAGCCTTGATTATGTCAAATGCTTCTTTTTGAAAAAACAAAAAAAAGCTATTCTGTAATCAGCTTGCTCTGAAGATGCTGAATACGCTAAGCTGTATTTGCACAGTTAATACCATGACCCTGAAATACACAGAGGTGTTTTGAATAAATAGGTGTGCACTTACTACTAATATGCAAGGAGCAGAGCACTCAGCTGGATTTATGAGCGACATGGTCGACCAAAAATCCCCAGACCAACATTTTAGACTGAAACTGTGACCTGCAGAGTAATGAAGGCATCAGTCTGACATCAGTCTTGTGCCCTCTTTTGTCATGGGTCTGCAAGTTGAGCAAAATTGCAAGGACGCTGATCAACCATAAGATGAGGATACAATTAAGTAATAACGGAAATAAATGAAGTAACTCGTAACAGTAACCTAGAGATCAGCAGGCGATAACCCAACTCTCTCAAAGGAAGCCAACACCTGCGTGAGGTTAATGGCTCCGACAGCTGAATTGATCAAAGAGCAGCCCGGCAGCATATAGATCTATATCACCCTTTATTCTGAGGAAGAATGATTTAATGACTGCCAACACAGAATTGATCTTTCTCCTCCCTAAACCTACCAAGACAAAATATCTCTCTATCAGAACCATTAATTCCAAAAGAGTGATTGAGTCCATCATTAGCGGGTCTACGCCCTGCGGACCTTTCATAGATTTAGAAGAATTGATCTGCAGTTGAATGTGAATTTGATTTTTATTATTTCCTATTGCGGGCTGATTAAAACGTTGCGGGCTGGCATCAACAAATAGGGCAAGGTGATCGAGGTCGGACAAGCCTTTTGGGTTAATGGTACCCGTCTCACAATCTATTGCCTTTAGATTGTTAATCATCAATCAGTGTTTGAGTGTGTTACAGTGCTTGCGGGGCATTACCTGAGTATCCAGAGCTGCTGTAGAGAGTCGGGCCTTAATCTGGAAGAGAGCCAGAGAGGAAATATACAGTAAATGAACTGCAGGAAAAAGCAATCAAGATGTGGCCTTTCTTCTCTCAGTGTTAAATACGGGGGAGCTATTTCTCAACGCTCAGCAGTAAATTTGACAATACACTATATATACTAAGACTATATGGCTTGAGGTGATCCAATGATGGAAAATAATTCCCCTCAACACACTGATGCTGGTGTGTTGTGCTCATGTATCGTACAGTAATATTCGTGCAATCTCACCCTCTCAGCCACAAACACATCCTCTACCTCCTTCCTCCTTTCTTCATTTTTAACACATACTCGATCCTGAGATTTGGGCTGCCCCTCTGCACATTAGCTTCACCTAAAAGCCCTGCGGCAGGTAGAGTGCATACTGTGCGCAGTTGTGTGTGTGCATGTGTGTGTGTTGGTGTAAGTGGTCCAGTTGTGTTTGGGCTGGAGAGACAGAAATACCCAAATTACAGCAGCAGAGCTCCTCCAAGTGCCCCGGCTATTTTTCTCTTTTTCTCTCACACACACACACACACACACACACACACACACACACACACACACAC